GGAAATGCCTAACAAAAATCAGTTCCTTTCATTTTGAAAACCTTGATGGTAAGTACCAAGCAACATTTTTTTCTTCAGATATTTGTAAAGCAGGTTTAGTCTTGAGCCAAAAAAGATGGACAGTTCTTGATAAAACAAGTGAAAATGTTTCAATACTTTGAGGGACAAAGGAGAGTCAATGAGGCCCACTTTCATCATCAATAGATGCTGCTCGTATTTCAGGAGACTCGTTGGTAGTATCTTTTCTGCAAACTTTTATGAGGTTCATTATGATTTTCAGTATTCCAGCCTGGTATGGTTTATGCAGAGAAAGTATGAATATCAAACTAATGCAGCTCTCACTAAACAACACTATCTCTGCTATATTCATCATTAGCTCATTCTTCGGCGTGCCAATGCTTTTGTGTATCTTTAATGTGGTCCTGGAGAGAATCATAATGTTGTAAAACAGACGGCATGCAAACATTGTTATTGTTATAGTCAGCACAGCCAGATAAGTTTGAACATTCTTTTTTAAGGTTGGAGCTTCTGGTTGGGCTTCTTTAACAAAGAATAAAATAAAACAGAATATCTGGAAAAACAATGGAATTCCAAACCCAAAGCTGAATTTAATAATCTCATATTCAGGCAATGCAAATAATGGATCTAATTGACAGTTTGTTACTTTGTGGTAGTTATCCGTACCTAGCAATGACACCACTACCAGAGATATGCAGAAGGCACATGCTAGTACAAATCCAACACATAACAGTGGCCTTTGAATTGCTTTGGTCATCACAGCAGTGCTTGATGGGAATCTATTGAGTAAAAAAGCAAGCAGCATCAAAATTAGAAGATACTGAGAATTGAAATAACTTACATTGAAAAAAAATGACAGAACTCCACACCCTAAGTAGGTTGCCATTAAATATCCAGGTCGAGTTATGACTGTAAATGAAAACAATATCATCACAATATTGCTGATGGTGAAATAAAAAAGAAATGTGTCTAATTTTTTCAAGTTATGCTGCAAGTTCTTTATGAAGATGGTCAGGATAAATATGCCAGCTATTAAACCTGTGGGTACAAAGAAGGCAATGTAGCAATGCATAAATCTTGATATGACATTTTGAGAAGCTATGAGGTCTTCTATTTTGATGGATGAGTCCAAGCTATGGCTTGGATAGCTTATCCAGGTCATGTTGTGAGAGAGCATCCTTCTGTGTAAATTTATTTTTCTTTTATGAAGATTGAAACCGCAACCTAAAATGAAAGTAAAAGTACAACTTAAAAAAACAAGTCTAAATGGTCACTCATTCACATGTTTTTAGATTTATAGCCAGAAATTCCTGAGTTCTTGTTCTTCAAATTGATTTTTCAATATAAAGTCACTTTTTAATATTTTAGATAACAGTACCAATTTTCACATTAGTTTCCAGGTAGCATATATAGTTTAATAGTTGTAGCAAGACAAATCCTGACCTCACTACTATCTATGCTCTGCTTTCCCTTTTTCTTTGTAGATGTGAAACTAGTGCTTTTCTGTTGAGCAGAGGATGGGAGGGATTCAGTGTGCCTTAGAGCAGGGATCTGTAGGGTATAGTGGAAAAGGTGTTGGATCTGTTGCTGTGTGAAACCCACTCTTCCTCACCTTTCCAAATGGTAATGCATATATGCAATGCAATAGCTAGAGGTGTAGTCACAAGTGGCTTCATTATAGTGCTATGGCTGATATGAAGATTCCATGGCACTTGGCCCCTGCTGACCTCCTTGGAGCACCACCTGTTGTACTCATGCTGTGTGCTGAAAGATGCTAAAATAAACAAAATATGAAATAAAAAAACATATTTCCTTAATATTTAAGTTTTAGATTCCTTATATTAAGATTAGCTTTTTTTTTATATAATTGAAGTCCATGCTGAGGAGACCATTTAAAATTAATGGGAATTACTCCTTGAGAACGACTCAGAAAGAAATGTCTTTTCATAGTATTGGAGCTTCATCCATTAATATAATATAATCTTTTTATTTTAAACACTGCAGAAGCCTTGTGCTCTAAAGACTGGTAAAATTTAATTTCCCTCCCTTAAATTTTACTTTATGTTCAAAGATACATTATGCTGTTATTTGTTAAGTTTCACCCAAGAGCATGAGTTTTACAGTTATAAATTCCTGAAGAAAGAGGTTTTTACAGATAATGCAGACATGCTGTTAACTGTAATGGGTTTAATGTTACTCTAATAATTCTGCTACCATGAAAATGTTTTTTTCTTTTAAGCAAATAGGAAATATAATAATAATTTGTTTGAGAGAAACTAAATGCAATAAATATGGATTTATAAATTTTTATAGACTAGCTAAAAGCATAATTAATTCACTGTCAAAAAAGAGTTTGCATGCACTTTGCACTGGAAAGTCAACTGCTTTGGAAAATATGGATTTATTTCTCATTGAGTAGGTAATTTAGTTGCAAAGGAGGAATATATCAATTTGAAGCACTTCCTTGCAGTAGATAATGAACTCAAATACTTTGAATTAGCAAGTTTTAAGCTTCTACTGACAAAAGTAAAGTTCTAACATTGAAATAGTTTGGTTTAGTATATCCAGAGTTTAGAAATATAGCATATTTTCTGAGCTTTTTTTCCTTCCACTTTCTTGGCATACAAGCATTTTAATTTTGCACTAAATTATACTTTTAATGCAAGTTTCTGAACTTGATTCAGTTGTATGTAAAGCTGATCTGTTCAAGCAGTATCTGTGGACAATGAATTAGCAAGTGATATAGTAGCACACTGGATTGTTTCCCTTAGCTGAAGATTCTGTATAGCCCATGTTAATGACAGGAATAATGTATCTCCAACTGTACATAAGGCTTTTTTACACAGAGATCTGATGACCTAAACTCTGAATATGAAGGTATTTTTAAGCTGACCAACTCTCATAGAAAATTATAACCTTAACTTATGTAAGTAACTTATGTATTACAGAAATAGATGTTTATTTATGTTCTTTATAGATAAAATCAAATCCTCCTATTTCCGCATCTCTTGTATTTTTTCTTTTTCCACCCTCTTGCATTTCTGATACTTCTATTCACTCCCCAATTAGTTGTTTTAATATTATATCTTTTGCAAAAGTCGTTTGTGATTTTGATACACAAACACACACACACATCTTATGACATAGAAATGACTAATCTTCCGTTGTATTTCCTTAAATAGTACTCTTCTAGATCATTTTGCTATTGGGAGTTCTCATTATATGACTAGGAAAACGAGCACTGCAGGAATAGCTTCTGCAAACAGAAGACATATCTGTTTCAGATGTGTAGGCTGTGGAAGAAGAGCCCGCTAGGCTAAGACAACACCTGTCTCACATCATCTTGCATGCTCCAAGTTTTCAACTCCAGAGCACAAGAGGCTGATGGACAAAACACCTTAAATGATTTAGAAACCTGGATTCCCTTCTAAAAAGTGATTTTTCAAGTGAACTTAGGCTCCTAACTCATTGAAGAACATAAGAACAGCCATACTGGGTCAGACCATAGGTCAGTCTAGCCTAGTACAGGCAGTCCCCAGGTTATGTACAAGATAGGGACTGTAGGTTTGTTCTTAAGTTGAATCTGTATGTAAGTCCCTTAAATGATTTAGAAACCTGGATTCCCTTCTAAAAAGTGATTTTTCAAGTGAACTTAGGCTCCTAACTCATTGAAGAACATAAGAACAGCCATACTGGGTCAGACCATAGGTCAGTCTAGCCTAGTACAGGCAGTCCCCAGGTTATGTACAAGATAGGGACTGTAGGTTTGTTCTTAAGTTGAATCTGTATGTAAGTCGGAACTGGCGTCAGCCGCTGCAGAAACTGATCAGTTTCAACCGGGGCTGAATCTGGATGCCAGTTCTGACTTGCATACAGATTCAATTTAAGAAAACCAT